TGCTCGCTAGTAGACACGTGCGATTCGTTTCGTTACGAATCGAAATTCGTACGAATTTTCCTGAAATTCGTAAATTCGGAAGCATCCGAAATCCGAATGGCAGTTTCCGAATTTATATCCGAAATACGAAATTCGGATCCGGAATCCGTTAACGGAATTCGTATTTCATTTGGTTGACCAATCAGAGGTTTTCTCTTCTGCTGCTAAGAGTTGCATTACAATACAGGCAGGAAATAGGAAATTCCATTGACAGAATTCCGTTCCGTTACGAACATTTGTTATATTGAAGTTAAAAAGCAAAATACATTTATACTGGAGTTGATGGTAGTTTTTTTTAAAGTCCGAAATACGGAATTCGGATCCGGAATCCGTTAACGGAATTCGTATTTCATTTGGTTGACCAATCAGAGGTTTTCTCTTCTGCTGCTAAGAGTTGCATTACAATACAGGCAGGAAATAGGAAATTCCATTGACAGAATTCCGTTCCGTTATGAACATTTGTTATATTGAAGTTAAAAAGCAAAATACATTTATACTGGAGTTGATGGTAGTTTTTTTTTTATCCGAAATACGAAATTCGGATCCGGAATCCGTTAACGGAATTCTTATTTCGGATACAAAAACAACTACCACATCGACTCCAATATTAACAAAGGTATTTTTGCTTTTTAACTTCATCATAACGAATGTTCGTACAGTTACCAAAATGTGCCGAAACTAACGAAAATTCGTATTTCGTACGAATCCGAATTGAGTTTCGGACACGAATTACGAAATAAACGGATATTCCAAAACGAACCACATTTTTTGACGGCGCACAAGTCTACTCGCTAGCTCCCTCATCAATTCCTCCCATGCACGCCTCCTGGACTTCTCCAGCGTCTCCAACATTCTCTGGAACTCCCTACCCCAACCTGCCTGGCTATCTCCTACTTTGTCTGCCTTTAGGCGATACCTAAAAACGAATTTCTTCAGGAAAGCCTAACCCACCTCTACCCAACAACTAAACTATTACTTTCTCAAACAACTCATCCCACCTTTTGTATAACTTGCCCCTCCCTTTTAGATTGTAAGCTCTCGCGAGTAGGACCCCCCCTAACCATCTTGTCTTGAATTGCATTGCAAATATGTCTTCCTTTTATTGTAAAGCGCTGCACAAACTGTTGGCACTATATAAATTCTGTATAATAATTATAATAAAAATATCAGCGGTTTATTGCAGAATCTTGATGAAAGTTGATCAGGAAAAATAGAGGAGAAGAAAAGGGCTAGTAAAAATAGGTAGGCTTCCCACCTTCATAGTACACTGGCAAAATGATTAGGCACACTGGGTAGAGGAGGAGTTATACAGGGGCTGGCTTACAACTTTTTTTGTTTACCAGTGTCCCAAACTCTTCAAGTTATACTTCCAGCAGTATAACTTGACTGTTGCTGGATTCCTGTGTCTCTCAATAGACAGTATATAAAGCGCCTGCCAGTGGCCCAGCAAAAACCTTCTGCGCCTCCTTCTGGAAATTCCACTCAAAGTATCCAGTTGCGGGGCTCGTAGCTGGACTGTTCAGACCTTCTGAGATTGGCTGGAAGCAATGACCTGCTGAAAAGCTGTTAACTAATGTAGCCCCTATATACTGTAGATGTATATATGTGCTACTATATAGATCTGTATTCCTGACTACAAGCAGTTAATTGCCTCTGTGTGTGAAACGAGGGGGTGACTTATGGGGATTGTAGGGCAGGGCAGATATGGAGACATTGCTGGAAGGACCTTTAGAACTGCAACTCCCAGGATGCTGTGGCAGAGGACGCAGGAGGACTATGGGCTGCGGCTACTGAGCGCGGGCAGTCTGAGACCAGGATCAGAAGTGTGCGGACCTATGTCACACTGCCGGAGTTAAGACTGCCTGTAACTGAACAGTGTGGGCACCTTTGACCTATAGGGGCACACAGGCTGTGTACTGCAGTATTGGAGAGACAGTTGTTCGTCTGCTAAGACAAGGAGACGGTGACCAAGCGCCTGAACGGAGGGCCTAGTGACGCGGCAGCGGCGGGGATATCGCGGCCTAGCGGTACGGCCGATCCACCCACTGGAGTGACCCAGCCAGCCCAGCTGAGTGAGTGGAATAGAACGGAGCCGCCTGAGATTGTTGGGTGACCCTAGACAAGCTGTGACGTGTTCCACGAGACCATAGATGACCACGCTTTCTTCCCAAGTGTCGGTCTGAAGAAAGAGGGACCCTCATCTGCTGCTGACAGGCATCATCCTTTCCAAGATAACCCTGGGAGCCATGAGAGGCCTCTGGGCCAATGTGACAAAGTACTTTTACATAGCTGCTACACAGTATGGGCCCCACTGTTGGCTAGCCTCGGACATTACTCCTGGTCAGTAGTGTAGAGGGGGTGTGATACTTCCAAGGGGAAATATTACTGTTGATTTTTCTAACCCAAGGTTAACCTCTGAGACAGCCTGGCATTACCGGTTACCGTGTAGGCAATAGATAGCCGCGGTTACTGAGTGTTATTGATTGTACTGTATGCGATTGGAAAGCCACTAAGTGCATTGCTTTATATTACACAGTCATTAAATCCTTTACAAAGCTCTTAAAGGTATGTTGGTGTGCTGTGGATCAACCTTTGGGCGGTACATTGGTGCAGGGGGACACAAAGACCCGGTACAATCAGCGGCTCCTACAGGGGGTAGCGCTACACTAGCATTGCCCACTCTGCCAAGAGGTTTACGATAATTTCCTCTCACTTCAGGTCTGCTATCAGATATCTACTGGCAACACAGTTTGTTGATTACTCCATAGTCAAGCCTCAGGCGCTGTAAAGCAGTGTTTAATTTCAACCAACCATGTCCACCAACCACAACTTCTTTCCTTTAGTACATTAACCCCTTTGGCACATTCACATTTGTTCTTGAGCTATGAAGCTCTAAACACAAGGGGCTTTTAATCAGCAAAGGAGATAGAAAGAACCTTGTAAACATGTAAGTCAAGAGCTTCACCTGCTGGGTGCATATGAAAAGAGAACATATCTATAAGCAATATTTCACATTTAGCTGAATAAAAAATATTTTCTAAAATGTATTTTTTTTTTTATCCCTGGCCCGAACAAAGAAATCAGTTACATGCAAAACCACAATACATTTCCTTTAATAGGTGAACTTTCAGTCTGCCAACAAACATAAAAACGATGCTGGGCTTTATTAGAAAGCCTACCGTGTATTTCATACAGTGTCATGGATACACACTGTAATACAAGTTAATTTGAAAAATAAAGCTTTTATACTTATAATTATAAAATGATATTCACATCAAATTATAAACTTGACAATGTTTAGAGAAAGATCAAACTGACCAAGACACATTACAGTTCTCATTTAAAGCTCAATTTCACCTTTTGTCTACTTACAACCTCATGCCCTTCCTGAAGCCCCTCCTGATCCATTTTGCTTGACATCGTCAAGTCTGTCCAGTGACATCCCGGCTCTTTCCTCTTCTCCTACAACGGTGGGTGGTCCTTCCTCCTAGACAGCATGGCACTCATGTAATGAAAAGTGAATATGTCTCAGTCCAGCAGCACTAGCGTGATGACACTACCAGAGCGCATGGCCATGGTACCTTGGGCTCAAGAACTGGATTGATTGCCATCGGGCATCATTGTAACGGCAACCGCCGTCACCGCTCACCTGGGGATTGGGGGCTACAGTGTTCTGCCTCACGGAACGGGCCGTCTGCGTCCCGGCGTGGTGCGCACACATCCACTTCCGGGTTCGGACGGCGGGTGCGTTCCACCTTGGGACGCGGAAGTGCTCCGCCTCGTTTGGCGGCTCCTCCCCCAGCCTCTTAGCCCTATATAAACGCCCCAGTGAGACAGTATGGCGTTCCAATATTGAAGACTGAACGCCTGCTGTCTCCTGGGACCCTACATACCTCGAATTACTGATACCAGCTACAGAGAACCCTGGACCAACTCCACTCGGACCCCCAGCTCCTTCTGCTACTCCATACAAATCGCAAGTACCCAGGCATACTGCACTTCCATTGATATATACTGACTGTGTGTACTGAGAAGCTGGATTGACTTACATGCTCCAGCTAGTGGTCCATTAGGAGAATACAACTCTGCCTCTAAACATAGCTGACATCAATCCTAACCTATTTGAAATCCTAAACCATTACATCTTTTGGTACTATTACTTGTGATTGGGCTTATGCAGTAATAATCCCATCCAACCTTTTTACCTCTGTTATTTTTGGCTGTGATGCTTGAACCCTAACTCCCCGTTAAGATTGGGAGTGAAACCAGGGTTCCGTCTGATTGGCCTCCGCAGTTGCGATCCACAATCCCCAAACTTATACCAGGTGTTACAGTCATTTAACCCAGAAAAGGAGCGGTAATAAGAGGAAAACATTGGCGGGGGATCACACCAGAGAGGGGGGTATTGCAGCAGGAGTCGTTTTTTATTATCTTAATGCTGTGCAATTATTTTTTTATGTTTAAATAAAAGGTGGAGCTGGACTTTAAGAAATGTACAAGTTCAAGTCGTGTATTTGTACACCGAGGAAACGTCTTGCACATTTTTAGTTAGCCAATGTTTCCTAACAGACCCTCGGCAGAAAAATCAATCTGTAGAGCTTCTATGTTTAAGCCATCTTAACAATCTTTTCCCTACGCCTTTTCTTTCCATCTGAAGGCAATCATACACACTGTGTGTGTACATTACGTGGAAGCCGTTTTCATATAATCTGCCATGTGATTTTTTTTCCACAAATACTATTTTCTCAAAAAAGCATTACTGATGTCAAACTCTGTATGGCCGCATAACCAAGCACCATGGATGGCATAAGAGACTCCATTTTTTTAAAAGGCCGTGTACACCATTGGATGAACCTGGAGCTATGGATTACATTCCATCTGCACAGCCACCAATACCTTTTATGCAGAGTAATTTTGTTACTATAGACAATACAGGAAGCACTTCATTGATGCAACAGTCCCTATAAGACAATCACCATTGACATCTCCGTGCTGCCTTCAGCCTGCGTTGTTACTTGGGCTTCTTGTACGCTCTCGGTTAAGTCTAGATACTCAGGGAAGACAGTCTCTTTAATGCTATCCTGAGAGACAGCTGTTAGCTCGGTCAGAGTCTCCTGGCATTCGGTCTGCCCTGAATACTCAGCAGAGGAAGCGTCACCCTCGAAAGAGGGCTGCGGAGCCCCTTGACGTGGTTCAGGATGCTTTCGACTCTTGTGAGCGGCAAGGTTGTCTTTCTTCTCAAAGCGCTGCCCGCAGATGTCACAGGGGTACAGGTAGGAAGAGGCCGCATCGTGCTTCTTCATGTGCCAGTTCAGGGATGCCTTCTGCCTGCAGGTGAACCCACAGAATTCACACCTTGAAGAGAAAAGGAGAAGCTTTCATTCAAAAGAGTTAGTGAAGTCAGCCGCAATAGAGGAGCAGGATTCAGACAGAGCCGCTGAATGGCTGGCCCTGAGAACATGTGAATGAATGCTAGGTGATATCACATGACTAAATGACAGCCTGACCAGCCATTCTTTGCGCCACAATTTGTTCCGGATAGGTTTTACAGAGCCTCTTTAAGTGCGTATATACATTGTGGCCAGGAAGAATGTTTTTCTCATAAGTTCCACTGTAACTTCAGGCGTGCATGATACACCTGGTTAGAGAATTGTTTTAAAGTTTGTTTTTTGCTTTAAATACATTTAAAAGCAATTAGCTAAACTCAAAAATTCTTATGAATGTGGGCTGATGTATTTAAAGTGGAGTTTCTCTTAATAGTTTCTTGTGCTATATGTACACGGGGGGTAGGGAGTCAGTTCTGCTCATTACATATACATATATAGGCTCCCTTTCTTAGCCTACAGATGGCCACCGTGGCTTAACGATTAAAAATAAACAAAAATTGTCTTGATTCCTACATCCACTCTCTCAACATAGCTGGGAGAATTCCCCCGCCAGGTTTTTGTATTGTGGCAACGGTGGGTGTGACACTGTTCGGTCGAGAAATTTTGGAAAAACAATTTCGGCAAAATCTATTGCAACATTGACTTCTGTTGAATAGGGAAGGCATGGCGGGGCTCCAAATGGGACAATACACTGGATGAGCTTTACGGATGACCACGAGCGACCAGGCACGACCCCTGGTGATCTATTGGTAATTGGTTAGGTCTGCTGCAGACCTCACTAATCCATTCTTTTTCGGCCGGAGCTCAGTGCGGCTGGAAGGAACAGACAGGCCAGCCGGGAGCAGCTGCTCCTACAAGTCAGGTACGCGGCCTGTGACCGGAAGCCAGACTGAATTTCCACTGGCCACATGCGAGCGGAAATTTTGAGATATATATATTTTAATGTTAGGGGAATCCAGCAGGATCGCAGGACACAGGCTTTGCAAATAAAGTAAAGTTTATTAACTGAAATAGCTTCACAGCAGCAACATAACAACACAGGTCATCTTCACTGACCAGCTGGCCAACTCAAACAGCAACTCTTCAGTACAACACAAAAGAACAGTCTCACCGACATGAAGATTTCAGAGCTGCAATCGCAGTTTAAACAGTCCCAGACTTCCAGGGTAACTTTCCCAGTCTACAGATTTCCAGCAAGATTAATGACATTCAAGCTCACAGCAGTACACAGATCCCCACTCTCCAACCTCCTCCACACTACTCCTCACCTGCTAGCTACCACTTCCTGTCTTTTAAACACACTCTCCCTCCAGCAGGTGAGTTAACCCCGTCTCATCCTTTAAAGGGACCACAGTCCAAACAGAGGGGAAATATAGCGTCCTTCCAGGACCCAGCCCCGGTGTCCTGTACAATATGTGAAAACATTTGGAAAGACATCCTATTGTTTCAAAGACATGCATTGTTCTCCATCTGCAATCATCAGGACATTAGTCAACTACTGAAGGCTGTGCTGAGGAACTTATAATGGTTTTTGGAAGCCTGTCAATCATCCAATCAGCGGGAGAAGAGGTCAGAAAGACTGGGGCAGATGACATAGGAGGTCGCGGCCATCTTGCTTTGATTGAAGACGCGATGGAGGTCCTGTGTGCGGCGGATCCGGGTCCCTGAAGATGGCGGACGCGGCACAGGTACTCGTTTTATGTTTTGGAGTATTTGCACGAGTACGAGTACTCATGCAAATACTCGGTATCGCGGCCGATACCGATGCTTGTATCGGTATCGGTGCATCCCTAGTTTTCTCACATATTGGTTAGAAATGGTTAGATGTCCTATATTGTGTGCATACTAAGCTCTTTGCATATTTAACCACTATAAGCTGGGTTTTAGACAGCAAACCTTAAAGCGCTATTATACCCTCCTTTTTTTATATATTTGCTATATATGCTTTAAAATCTTTTCATTCCTCGTTTTCAAGTGGGTCCCCCCAGCATTGTTCACCCCGCCCCCCTGTACGGCGGCCACCGGTACGCGCTGTGGCTGTGTGCGTCCATAGACACACACAGCCCTGTGGCAGGCCACTCCCTTCTCTCTTTGATTGATGGCAGAAGGAGCCTATGGCTCCTCTGTCATCAGTATCCTCCCCCTGCAACCAGGAAGTACGGGGAACGAAGGATCACTTCGGGACCGGCCGTGGGGACGAACATCGCTGGCAGGTAAGTGTGGGGACGACGACAGGGGAGGACTGGGGGAGAAAAAAGGTTCTTGGCGGTTGTTACCAGAATGCAGAGAATGCAATAAAGTAAAAAACGCCCAGACCTTAATACTACTTTAATACTACTTTTATTTGCAGTAAAACAAAGAGCCTGCCTGCTTGCAATGTTTTATTCTTCAGTCATGTCCAGCTTAAAAGTAGCTCAATACATTCCAGCTGCATCAAAACTAAGGATGTTCAAATATTGACAGTTACAGCCTAAGTAGAAAAGTGTGTCCTCTACTAGCATGATGTAGAGAAAGACCATTGGTCTTTGAATGGAAGCAGTGGTCTCTCTGTAGAGGTCCAACCCCCCCCCCAAGAGACACAGTCAACAGGAGCAGCATGAACTTTTATGACTGCAGAGCTATTGCTCTGACTCAGCAGGGGGGACTATTGAAGTATTGTAGCTCTGCTGAGAGACCTCTGCTTCCACACAGAGAGGAAGGGTCCTTCTTTGCAGCATGCTGACAGGGGACAGGCTGGTGCCTGTTTTCTACAGAGATTACATCACATCAAGCAGCAGTGAAAGAGACACAAAGCACACTGAGAATCCAGGAAGTTGGTGAAAGTGATGGGCAGACGAAAGGCAGCACTCCCTACATAAAAGGGATTTTTCCAAGCAAGCTTTGATTGCATTATCAAATACAAGTCTAGTATATGTTCATATTAGAATGCGGATGTTATAACAGGATAGTGTATGGTGGGGCTTTAGAACTCCTTTAAACAGCTAGTAGCGTGGCCTGCAGCTACTAGCCCCTTCTATACTGGCTGTATATGTCTATCGTAGAAGGAGACCTCCTCTCAGTACTATCAGTACTCTCAGTACTGGTAAATGTTTATTAAAGCAGATTTACCCGGAATGCATTTGCATGCTTGTTTTTCCTCGGTCAGCCACCAGGAAGAAAGCAAGGATGTGACTGGCAGAGGGAGGACAGGTTCAGAATCCCAGTACAGTACAGCTGGTAGTAGAAGGCGCAGCCAATACTCACTGAAGGGGTTTCTCCCCAGTGTGAATACGCCGGTGGATGATGAGGTTACTGCTGCTGCGGAAGGCCCGGGCGCAGAATTCACAGATGAAATCCCTCCGATCTGACAAGAGAGCACAAGCAGGGAATCTACTAAGTATTTTCACTTATTATTATTATTACATAGTATTTATATAGCGCCAACAGTTTGTGCAGCGCTTTACAATGTAAGGAAGACATTACAATCACAATACAATTCAAGACAAGATGGTAAGGAGGGCCCTGCCCCTGAGGGCTTACATCAAACTTTGATGTTGTTATTATAACATTTACCTGGAAGTAACGTCTGATGTGACTTTAACTTGCTCTGGCATATTTACTTGATAATAGTACAATTTAGATTCTCCCTCTAAGGCTCTGTTCACACCTAGGCGTATCGAATATGTGCGTTTGTCACGCGTTTTGTGACGCGTTTCGCGGTAAAAAAACGCGTTTCCGAGGGCTACTTTCCTGTATCCCAATGGAAACGCGCAACAAAAACGCTGCAAAGAAGCTTATGTACCTTTTCAGGCGTAGGCCGTTTTGTAGCGCGTTCAGACGGGCTGAAATACGGCAAGGTGTGAACCATACCCATAGAAAACAATGGGATTTTCATGTTTGAGCGTTTTGTAGAGCGTTGAACGTGCTACAAAACGTACAGGTGTGAACCAGGCCTTATGGTGGTCAGTAATACAAGCAGCACAATCAGCATCTTAGCTGTCCAAGTGCAAGAATAACAATTGTTGGCTAGGTTTCCCAGGTGGTCTCTCGTTTTGCAGGCTGTATTATGTCCATTATTTGAACAGAAAGGGGTTTACCTGCTCTGTAATTCTGTCCAGCCAGTCATCTCTGAGCATGCCGGCCATACTGCGTAGCTAAAACATTTAGAAGAAAAAACCCTAAAAAAAATGGGAAGAGCAAGTCCTTCAACGGTCAGTCACTAGTGTGTTAGGGATTTTCAAAGCTTTTAGGGCCCTCTGCTGGTACGGGTGTACTATCTGTACCTCATACTGCCGTCTAGTGCAGCCTTTTTTTAAATCTCCACACCCCTGCCATAGCTGAGCTACTCGGAGAGTGTTAAAGAAAGAAGGTCACCATAATACCTAGGCCACTAGCATTTTCATAAGAAGAGACCAGCAATGTCTCAATGGTTGCCTTATGACAAGTCACGTTCCATAAAGTGCAATGATGATGAGAATGCAACGTTACCACTGTGTCTCTTTTCATGCTCTTTAAGGTGCTTCTTAAAGTTGAAGGTTTTCCCACAGTCGGGTACTGAGCAGCGGAAGGTGCGCTGGTTCATGTGCTGATACTTCTGGTGATACTGTCGGGGAACAACAGAGAAAAGCAACTCAATATCACAGAACATACCTAAGGCAACTCAAATAGCAAACCACTGGTATATAGTTAAAGCTGAACTCCAGGAGGAGCTAATTGCAGAACAGGCCGACCGATCTGATTCCTTTATGGCCAGATGGATGCCCTGGATATTGTTCATGGACTCTGAGGAGTACTGTACCGATCTCTACGGTGAGTGAATTTCCCTATGCCTCTGTCACCCCAGGGTCTGGGGTG